TGGTAGAACAGACGCACGACTTTCAATATTAAGTAAACATAACCCATTTAAAATTGGATTAGGGATGAAGATTTTATGTAATTTTCGCAAAGCTATAGGTTATAATTTTGTCTCCAGCGTTCTAAAGAAAATCTCAAGAAAAAGAAAAGCTTTTCTCAAGAGATTACAAGTGAAAGTATCATGTAATCATTACCAAAAATAATATAAATTATTAAATATGATTGATGTACAATTTATGATACAAGATTATTTTTAATTATTCATTATTTATTTTAAAATATTATATTTTAATTCATAAATAAAAGTTTAAATTAGATAAAAAATTAAATTTTTTTTCCTTAAAAAAGTCCATAAAAAGCTCTTACATAAAATAATTATTCATATTTAATATATAATTATTGATTATATATTTTATTTTAAAAATATAATGTCTGCGTGACTGGATTTGAATATGATAAAATTTATTATGGATGATGAATAAAATATTTTGATGAAACAATTAATAGCATAAGGAAACTAAATGAAGCAAATAACCAATATCTTTAAATCATTGCAATAATGCCACTTTAGATAAAAACAACATTCATAGTATTCAATTCACTACTATTAAGATAGAAAAACACACTGCTAACACCATCAATGTCCTTGTCCATAACAAAAAGTCATGACTCATAAGAGTCGTGAGAGTTAGGACAACTCATATACTACACATCAACAAATTGTTGATAACAACACTCTTTTAAATTTTAATATTTATTAAGTGAAATTTCATGATAATCTCAATAATAAAGATTGATATAAGATTTTATTTAATATTGAAAATTGGAAATATTCAATATATACACTCACATATCGAATGGAGTGAAACCAATTTGATGTGTTGACCTTATTCAAGTCATAGAATTCAAAGAAACTTTATAGTTTATACAAATACAAATTGAGTCCTACACTATTCCTTGCTCGACCCCTTTTGAATAATGGATGACTTCAAATGCTTCTTTATCATTTTTTCATTTGGGTAATATTTTTCCTTTTTTTTTATAGGGAGTTAGCTTGTCCATGACTAATAATTTGTTACACTTTCTAACAACCGAATGAAATTATAGAATATTAAAATAATCTTTTAAAGAGAATTTCATGTATCTAAAATATTCATAATATGTTCATTTCTCTATCTTCAAAGATGGTTCTTGTTATGATTATAGTAGAAGTTTTAAATCCAATAATTAAAAACTATATAAATATAAATTATTAAATAAAATAAATTTAGATAAAAATAAGTTATTCATAGAAATCCTAGTAAATAAAATCATCTTATAAATTATTATAAAGTATTAAATAATGTAATAGTATTCGAAAACCAAATCATCACATCTCGTTGTTCGATAATAACAGTACTATGGAATAAACATTTTTTTTATACATAAATAAACCGTTTCTTGTTCATACACTTTGTCATTATTTTATTATAAGAAATACATCAAACAGTGATGAGTGATCTTTTCTGGCAGATCGGCTTATATAAGTAGAAAATGTTTTTCTTTCTTAAATTATTACATTATTCTCTATTTGAGACAATATTAAAAAAAATTAGTCTGTAAAAAAAAATCAGATAAAATTATGTGTGGTCAAGAGTCATATTTTATAAATGCATATTAATCTTTTATTATTAATTTTGAAAGATTGTATAAAATTTTACATACCATGTTTATAAATAAATAAAAAATAAAGAAAAACATAGAATTATTAAAGATGACCAGATTATTTCTCAAATTATTTAACACAATTACGTACAAACACTGTTAATTAAGCTAAAATAAACACATAAATTAATTCCACACTTTATGTTACAATCTTACAAGCTAGGGGTTTTAAAAAGAAAGGTATTTTACGAAGCTAATTTTATATATTAAGCACAAATTTTACTTATTTTAATATTTATATTTCTTTTCTCTTTGAGCATGGGTTTGGCATAGGGGGTGATAAAATGAATTAGTCATATCCGTTTTTCTCCAACTCGCAAAAATTAGACTGGGTTAGGCCGGTCATTGTAAAACAGAAATGTTGGTCCATCCTGTCTAAGAACAGGTTGACAGACCAACAAACTAACTTGCATACCATTAAAAGAAAATTGCAAAAAAAATAAATCTTATATTTAAATAAAAAAATTACTATAAATAAATAAATATAATCACGTAAAATTAAAAATGCATATATATTGTACATAATATATGTTCAACAAAAATAAATTATAAATTTATAATAAAATCAAAATTAAATTACAAATTTATAAATTACTATTTTTTTTTACAAAAATCTCAAATGTAGACAGGTAGAGAGTTTTTTACTCAAATAATACTATTTTAAAAAATATTTACCCAAATAGCAACCGTGCAAATTTATTTTTTCAACTAGCATTTTTTACTGTTCACGTTCCAGAACGAGCTGTTCTGATTCCAGAATGGGCTGTTCCAGATTAAAAAAATAACACATGACGAGTGGATCAGAACGGGCCGTTCCGGATTCAAAAAATGCACATAAAAAGTGGAACAAGAACGGGTCGTTCTGAATTCGGAACGGGCCGTTCTAGCCTACAGATTCAGGCTTTTATTTATTTATTTATTTTTTTGATTTTCACTTATCAAATACCAAAACTCAGAGACTACCATCAAGTGATTAAATTTATTGAATATTAACTTTATAAATACAACTAAATAAATTTATTAAAATTCATTACAACAATAAAGATCAATGGTGGCGTGACCAGGAGTGTGACAATATGAACAATTTTTTACACGATTATGTTATTTTCTAATGTCCATCTCTGTTCTAATCCTGCTGGACTTTGGCCGACCCTTGAGAGTTCTTTTGCATTCTAGATTTGGCCACAAAGTTGGAAGAAACACAACATCTGAGAGAAGTTTGACTTACTGAGAAATTTACAATAAGGCTAAATGAAATGTGGTATGATTGCAGCAAGTTTCAGAAAGTTCATATTCCTTGTTCGCATGACCCACTAGGAGATTTACAGTAAGGCGTGACCAGGAGTGTGACAATAGGAACAATTTTTTACACGATTATGTTGTTCTCTAATGTCCATCTCTGTTGTAATCTTGTTGGACTTTAGCTGACCCTTAAAAGTTCTTTTGCGTTCTAGATTTGGCCACAAAGTTGGAAGAAACGCAACATCCGAGAGAAGTTTGACCCGCTGAGAAATTTACAATAAGGCTAAATGAAATGTGGTATAATTGTAGCAAGTTTCAGAAAGTTCATATTGTGACACCCTTACTACCCCAATACATATATCGAAATTTGATTATTAGTATAAAAAAACTTTACACTAATAATATATAGGTGATTAACTCATATTCTTTATCTTTCCCACGACTCTATATATCTATTCCATAGTATTCTTCCATTGATTCATTTCATGTCATCTTGTTGCTCTTTATGATATATAGTTTTTTTTTTTAATTCCATAGTCCATATGTTTTATAGTCGAATATGTGAACCATAATTAAATAAAAGAAAGTTTGAGCATGTGTAGTATTTAGGAGTAAAATGGTAAATGTATTTATAATATTTAATTATTATATCTTTTAATTTGAAAAATATAATTTAAACAATCTAATTTCCCTCTGTCTCTCTTTTATTTCTTTGATACCAAATTACTTTAATTTCTTATTTACTTCTCTTCACTTATCTTTTATTTGTTTTCTTTTCTCTTTCTTCTATTTTTTACTCCTTTACGAAACACAGTATTTATGTAAGTAAATTTAATGAGATAAGATTCACATCTTGAATCATTGAAAAAACATTTAAAATTGTGTTCCAAAATAATAATAAAAAAAAGTGATCATTATTTTAAAAAGATAAAATTAATTCAAAATTTGAAAACTAAAGGACTAAAATAAATCTTTAGAAAGATAAAGGAATAAAATAAATATTAAAAATAAGAAGAAGAAAACTGATAATATAGTTTAGCTGGCACATATGTCTGAACATAGTTTTGTCTCATTGCTTTACAACACGGAATTTTATATTGGGTAAAATTTAAAATACATCGAAATTCATTTTAATTTCTATAAAAAATAATATATATTTTATTCTTGTATTTATCAAAAGTGTTGCAACTTTTATTTTATTTTCAATGGGTTAAATTGTTGGGCTAGTCCTTAAATTATTTAAGAATTTTTAAGTTAATTTTTAAATTAAATTTTAAGTGGAGTGAGTTCAATGCATGAGAGCTTAAGTTGAATCCTTAATTGTGTTACCCTTATTACCCCAACACATATATAATATAATTTAATTAAGAAGAATAAACTTTCAAAGGGTTCGTAAAAGGGTTCACATAAAACTTCAAAACTGTTCTTTCTTCAATATAAGAAAATGACTGAAAAATAAAACTTGAAAGGTAAAATTTAAGAGTTTACAATTTTAAAATCATTTATTACAATACCAAATCCATATAAATATTCTGTCCTAGAAATCCTCTGCCTTGACAAGTAATATATCGATTTTTTCTTGTATACAAAGATTCTAAATTCTTTAACACATTAACTTTAACATATACTGATCTACTTCTACATTTTTTCTTGTTTTCCTTTGGAATACAACATTCAATACTAAAGTATATAGTAATACGATCACTACTAAGAAAATACTGTTTTACGTCGTTATATATATAACATCTGTTGTCCAAGAAATGATGTAAAAAACATGTGCAGTGACAAACTTGTAATTAAGTAAAAAATATAAGTAAATTTACATCAGTTTTTCCTAAAACCGATGTAGAAATGAAGTATTCTACATCGGATTTCCTTTTAACCAATGTAGAATATATACCTTGTTTTGTAGTAGTGGATAAAACTTTTCTTTAAACTTGATAGGTATTTTATGATTCTTCTATTAATGTGTTAATTTTCTAAATGAACAGGTAATTATATATATAATTACCAGACCAATTTCTGTTTCAAGATTAGCCATGTAACTCACTTTATACTCAATGATAATTAATTTGTAGGAGTTACTTTAGATGCACTTACAAGTTTGATCAAGGTTGTAAAGCAACCAAACAGGTGCAGCGATGTGAAGAAAATCCTGATATGTACCAAATAACATACATTGGCTTGCACACATGCAATGCGTCTCTCCTCAATAGGTTATATATCAATCTTCTTCCATCTATCAATATATTCTTTGAGTTAATCACCTATACAAAAAATTTTATACTAACAACCAATTATATCTTTTAATTGTGTCATGTCAATTAAAAGATATAATTGATTATTAGTATAAAAAAACTTTACACTAATAATATATAGGTGATTAACTCATATTCTTTATCTTTCCCACGACTCTATATATCTATTCCATAGTATTCTTCCATTGATTCATTTCATGTCATCTTGTTGCTCTTTATGATATATAGTTTTTTTTTTGTATACGAATGACAATTTGGAGAGTTCCGACATGAAGATTATTGGCCTACTTACACTGGTCCAACTTTGTAGTCAAATCCAGAATTCAAGAGAACTTTCAAGGGTGACCAAAGTCCAGCAAGATTAAAACAGATATGGACATTAAAGAACAACATAATCAGTTTCTACCACCATTGATCTTTATTGTTGTATTGAATTTTAATAAATTTATTTAGTTATATTTACAATGTTAATATTCAATAAATTTAATCACTTGATAGTAGTATTTGAGTTTTGGTATTTGATAAGTGAAAATCGAAAAAAAAACCTGAATCTGTAGGCCAGAATGGCCCGTTCCGGATTCAGAACAGCCCGTTCTGGTTCCACTTTTTATGTACATTTTTTGAATCTGGAACGGCCCATTCTGATCCATCCGTCATGTGTTATTTTTTAATCTGGAACGGCCTATTCTAGAATCAGAACAACCCATTCTGGAACGTGAATAGAAAATAATGCTAATCTAGGAAATAAATTTACATAATTACTATTTGGGTAAATATTTTTTAAAATAATATTATTTGAGTAAAAATCTCACAGGTGGATTGTGATAGATCAACCCACTATTTAGTCGACCACGAATTAGAATGATGGACTTCATCTGTCAATTTTTGTTTGGCCAACGGATCGACATGTGGATCACAACCATTTTACCACCTCTATTTTAGCAGCAATGAAAAACGGAAAAAGAGTAAAAAAAAAATATGTATAGACCTTACTGTAAATTCATTATTTGAGAGTTTGAAAGATAAGTTGAAATGCCAAAAACAAATAAAATTATGGGGTCCATCCAAAAAGCTTCTACACTTGATTGCGCAGATTTGCAAAGAAACATACTTGATTATGTTTTTCTTTAATATAATATAATATTAAGAAATAATAATAATAGTAAAATAAAACAAAATATTATTAATAATAATAAAAATTTTTATTTATTACTTTTATATTAATTATTAAATAATCTTTCTAACTTTTTTTTCACTTCTCTTTTACTTCTTTCTTACTAAACAATCTTAATTCCCACTTTCTTTTTTCCTTATTTGGTATAAATGAAAAAAAGGGAAAAGAAAAAGAAAAAGAAAGAAGAGAAAGAACCACCTTTCCCTTATTTGGTTCCACCTTTCCCTTATTTGGTTGTCTAGTTTAAGAAGAAAAAACACTTATTTTTTTGTGGAGCTCACATTAGACTTCCTCTCTAATTTGAAAAGAAAGGAGAAGACAAACACTGAACCTTATCTTTCATAATATCACCTTTTTTTTTTTATCCGCAAACAAATTATTTCATAATATCACAGATTATTTTATAATATCACATATGTGTATCGAATAAATATACATATTTTTTTCGACTTATTTTCTATTCAATTAAACAATAAAAAAAAACTTATATTTTTTTCTTTTCTTTCACTCTTTCTCATACCCAATAATTAAGTTTTCTTTTTATTTTCTTTCCTTCTACTTTTTCTCGCGAACCTTCTACTTTTTTTTTCGTGAACCAAACATACCGTTACATTTGGTACGTAGAAATGTTTGTAATTTAGTTTTAGCTAATTTTTGTATATAAGTCATTTGTTTTATATATAAAAATGTTATTGGTGCATAAATGTACTAATCTCTTTAGGGTTTGATTCTTTGAGATTGCCTTTTGAATGTACGTGGCATAAGTTATCCTTGTGACTTTTCAATCCAAATACCTTCTTTGATAATAAGAAAATATTATTTATGTATACATTTTAATTTTATCGCTTTTTGGACTAAATATTGAGATTAAAACAAAATTAAATCTAGTTTAAAAATCACTCAAAAAAAGAACTTTAGATTTTTCTTTACATTATCTACATTAAAATCGGATATCATACACAACCTATGTTGTATATAGCATTTCTAAATGTGATTAACCGATTATATAAAACTCGCGTGATACATATATTGATGTTATATTCCGGTCCAAATTAAATCTAAAACATTAAGAGCATGTTTGACTCTTGTCTCACTTTTTTTTTTTTTTTTAATAAAAAAAACTACTTTATGAAACAATTCTACACAACTCAGCGATCATTTTCTCATCCAAAATTTATTAAAATTTGAAAATTATTTTAAATATAAAATAGAAACAATTGAGAAAATATTTCTCATCTTCTTTTTCTGTTTTCTTCAAGTGCTCCGTTCAATTGCTCATCCGATAAACCTTTCAAAATCATAAAAGAATTGTAAACAAATACTTTCAAATGTACTTAGGAAATAAACAAGTTTCAGAAGCAAAGAACAAATAAGGTCTAAGCAATCCTCAAAAAGATAAGTTTATATCTACCCATATATTAATAGTGGGGAAAGTTGTATGATACATCAAGAACAAAAGTTCATCACCTTAGTCCCAAGTACAAGCCTCGTGACAGATTCCTTTCTTGAGACATGAGAAATAATGTATTGTTAAACAAGTCAAAAGATGAAATCCAATCATCTTAGACTTCCAGGATTTCTGTTCCAAGACAAGTATGATGGATCACCAAGGGGTCTGCATATACCGCAATATGTCAATGTCATTATCTATTTGGCACAGATGTCAAACATTCTTAAACAGTCCAAGATAAATGTTCAAAATAATTTAAACCATGTAAGCAACAACAGAAAAAACCAATCTTGCCAAAAAAATGATTAAATATGTTTTTAGTCACTGAATTTTTTTGACAATTTTCACTTTTAATCTTTGAACAATTTTTGGTTTTGTTTTAGTCCCCAAAATTTTCCTTTGAAACAAAAATCTTGATGCCAAAGATCAAGAAAGTTAATAGGGAAGTTCAAAGACTAAAAGTGAAAATCAACAAAAGTTTAAGGACTAGAACTAATAAAAAAAATTGATCAGAAACTAAAAGTGAAAATCAGCAAAAGTTCAAAGATTAAAAACATATTTAATTCAAGAAGAAATCGTGGCCAATTTGTTAATGTTTTTACCAATGAAATTAATAGAACCATGAAGTGTAGAAGAGAAGAATATGTAGTACTTCCTCACCTTGGCTGCATCACATATAGAAGTAGGAAACCTACTGCCAACAACAAGGAAACCCCACCAATGAGAATATATGCCATCCCCAAGAAGTGATTTCTTCCACCAACCCAAGTTGTGGTTGAAAGAACCAGGCTCTTTCTTCCTCCAAACTCGTATGTATTATAATTGTTCTCTATTACAAGCATTACTTCTTCATTAACTTCAATGTCAGTCTCAATCTTTCCATATAGTTTTCTGAATGTAGGAAGTGCTGCTGTCCTCATCCAAACAATGAGATCCTCTTGTTCACTCAACTGTGCATGCCACATGATGACAAAGATTCATTTCTCAAGATATCAGAAAAGTGAAGAGGAATTTTCTCTCAAGAAGTGAACATAAATACAAATTAATATACGGCAATGGAGATATATTTACTTACAGGTATGCTCTCATTAAGTCTAGCTCCCCCAATCAAACCTCCAATCTGAAAATTCTTAGGATAAACATCGGACCCAAATTTCGCCAATTGGTCACTCTTCCATGCTATGTTCTTTTTGTTGATCACCAAATCTTTGTTATTGCTTGAAATTCTGTATGTGTCATTAAAAAGGCTCCATGCAATAATGCCACAAGGGACAATTGGTTTATGGCCCAATTCAGTTGATGTATAGTCTTCAGGACTGCATGAGCCTACATCATTCTCTGATGCTTTATTCCTCAGTTGTTTATCATCTCTACTTTTAACGTATCTGCAGATATCATCCAAAATCCATGTTGGAAAGATCATTCAACATTCAGTATGAAATTATTTTTTTTTCTATGATCGAGTGAAGTTTTCTGATTCATCAGAATTACAATTACTACCCCAAAGTTCGAATCTAAGACTTTGTACATTTTTATCTTAATTTCTTCCTACCACTAGATCGACCCTAGTAGTTTAATTGAGTGAATTTTGTACAACATGAGAGCAAACAAAACACAAATTAAAGTCCATGAAAATCAAGTTGTCTAGATAGATGTGTAATCCTGATATGCAGGAGGGGACATGGCACAAAACCAAAAGACAAAATATAGTCTTAGCCTTTCAGGGTTCAGTTAGGCTTGGTCCAAATTCAAGAAGAACACGACTGATGACAAAACTTGAGCCTAATGGAGAGGCCTTTCTACCACAAAAAATGGAATGAAATGCCAAATCAGATGCATTGATACAAAATATAATGGGAGCAAGATTTTGCTAGTTAATTGCACATACCGGCGATGGTTTTGGTAAAAGTTACCAAGCTGATAATAGACATAAATAGGGGCCTTCATTTTATTCTTAATCTGCAAAATTTGCAGCAAATTATTTTATAAAAGTTGCAGCCTAAATGATGATGTCAACAAGGAGAAATAAGTTCCTCCAAAGCAATGTAGAATTGAACTTTCACTTGTATCAGTGATAAGCAGTTGTACTAACAGTCAAGTTCCTGGTGCAAGTTTTGTTTATGTTGTCGTTTTGAATATATTCCAGTGCATCATCTTTGTAATCAGGTGGAAGGCATTCATCATCATATCGAAATGGCACTTCCACCACCTGCATCGGAAGATCTTGTTCAGTACACAATCAATTTGAGTACCCAAATCCCTTTGATACTGTGTAATATGTATGGAGACAAATTCTTACACTCTCTGATGCAAACAATGAAGCAAGACCAACAGGAATGAAGATGAGTCCTATAACAGTAAATATTGAAATGGCCTGGAAAACAAAGATAAAATCAATGATAAGAAGAATCTAGCAGACAAACACTGTTGTTGCATATTATGATTCTGTTGTAAAACTAAGAAGTTAATGTTAGAACTTAGAAGCCATACCCAACTAGGTGTTAGAATTGGTTGCCAGGCATCAAGTTCTTGCTGTGAGAATCTAGAATCTACCACAGATAAAAAATTCACGAGTTACATAGCTAGATTAAATGCAATAGAAGATACAGAGACCCCAAAATGTAGAGAAAGAGAGAGAGAGGGGGG